TGCCACTTAGGCCAATTATTAATATTTGTTTTTTAATCATGTTTTAACTGTAGTTTTTGGTATTTTGTAGTTTTTATCTGGTTGTTAGCCGCCCTGAGTCCGCAAGGAGAAGGGCGGGATATAAATAGAAGCAATAAAATAAATAAATAAATAATAAATGCAGGACTCCATTAATCAGCTGCATGAAGATGGCGGGGGCATCTTGCAGTCCAAAGGGGAGTGTGTGAAGTTAAAAACATCCCAGAGGGCAATTGAACATGGTCTTCCATTCATCCTCCTCTTTAATCTGCTATAAGGACCTGTCTCAGCTAAACCTCCTAAGAAAGCAGAACTCTTGAAATGTGCATCATTTCAATAAAATTTTTTATTGGAGTTGCTGACTACAGGGAAGTAAAACAGGATCTGAGGGTTTCCTACGCAGAACACTACATTCAAAGTAGGAATCCAAAACCCCACTCCAACTGTCCATCCAGTCAGTTCAAACAGAGCCAATTCAAAGGTGTCAAATTGTTGTGGGAACGAACCAATAAGGCTCAAGATTGTCAGATATCGTCGCACCATCTTCCCTCCGCCTGGAGATAAGGCAGATGGCTGGAGGCACATTCCTTTCTCACCCCAAGGAAGGGACGGGATATTTCAAAGAGAAAGAAGAAAGCAAAGGAAATACACTGCAGAAAGCTGCATGCCCTCCCCCATTAGAATGGCAGAATCCCAAAAATGTAAAAGGGGAATAAGGAATAGGGGTTCTGACATCTGTGCTCTGTAGTAGACTTCCCGCAGATCTAATTTTATGAAAAAACTCCCTTTTGCCAAGTGGACAAGCATGTCTTTCATTAACGGCAGGGGGTAGACATTCTCAATGCAATTTGCATTTAATCTGTGGTAATCCAAGCATAAATGAAGGGCTGCCCTTCTTTTCTTGGAACAGTACTGGGGGAGCCACCTGTATTTTAGCCGGCTGAATAAACCCCTGTGCAAGTTTTTGCCTATAAAAGTCAGGAGCTCCTTGAGCTTTCTTGGGGTCATGGAGTACAATTTAGGTTTAGGTAGTTTGGCACCTGGTATTCTTTCTGTGGAGCAGTCAGTGGGACAATGAGGGGGAAGCACATTGGAGTCCTTTTCACTGAAAACGTGTGCTGTCTTGCTCCCCCCACACACACGTACATCAAGAGTTCTACAGGTGTTTATTCAAACCCTCCAAACATCTTCGGAAAGCACCCCCATCCACAAGTCTGGATTCCAAGCTCAGTATGGCTAGAGTCAATGGGTAACTGAATCCAATAGGCACACAACAAGTCTAGGAAGGTAGTCCATGTTTCCAATGGGTCAGGATACACCGCATGAGCATACAAGGCACGGAATTGGGCACATTGCTCCAGCAATGCTCAGGTCCTCAGGGCAGGATTAAGTAGGCAACACTAGTGCAGCCCTTCATGAGAGGTGAAACTGCCTTTTCACAAGTAGTCTAGCTGACTGGTATTGTGCCTGTCTCCTCTCTGCTTTATGTGTCCTTAGATCAGGAAGAAGTGTGGATTCTGCCTCCTTCTCATTGCTAACAAATGGCAGCAGTTCCTGTCATAGCCTGGAGTCTACTGGTCAACTTGTGCAGCTGTCCTCGCCTTGCCTCACGCAACCTCAGCCTGTTGCTGAGGCTGCGGTGTCAGGCTAGCACTTTCTCCCGATCCTGACCAACACTCAGCTCCCTGCTTTCCTCTGCTGACTCAAATTCACACTCCTCCTCTGAACTTGCATCCAGAGAGCAGTCTGGAGACAGATCCATGATAAAATCTGTAAATCCCAGTACTCTTGGAGAATACAGGGTTCTGCCTTAGATTGTTCTCGCACCACAGCAACAGCCTCCCCTTTCACTTTTCCACCCAGCAGTTCGGACGAATGTTGTGGGGGCTCCCCCTGCCACTGAGTCATCCAGTTGGCAAAATGCCACTGGTATCTTCAGTTCTCTGAGTTGCACCCCCAGTTTTACTACTAATCCAGGGCTGACCGGGCATCTCATGCAGCCCAAGCCCAATAGGGCAATCAGATTTTCCCAACATCCCAAGATCTATTGGAATTGTTATGTGTATCACTGGGTGACTTACCAGGGTGATTGTCATTGCTGTCACTTCCCACAGGACTCCTGGGTTGTGAGATTGGAGTTCTCTTGCCTTTGCTAGGCAATGGATTGAATTCAACTATCTCCACTCCTTTAACATTCTTTCTCGGGGTTTTGCAGGAGGCTTTCCCGCCTTCTTGATGGGACTGGGGATTGGCTTTTGTGTCAGACAGATCAGCAGTCGACAGCTCAGTGTTTCTCCTTCCCACATTTGAAGTATCCAGTGGAGCGGTGCTATGGGTTTTATCTCGTCCTCCTTACTTTGGAGCAGCGGTTCTCAACCTGTGGGTCGCGACCCCATTTGGGGTCGAACGACCATTTCACAGGGTCGCCAAACAACGCAGTCCGCCATTTTTTCCCCTTTTCCTTAGCTGTGCTACTCCCTCTTATTCTATTGGCTTTTGAAAGCCAATAGAATAGACTCTCTTGAATAGAGTCTAATTCTATTGGCTTTCAAAAACCAATAGAATAAGAGGGAGTAGCACAGCTAAGGAAAAGGGGAAAAAATGGCAGACTGCGTTGTTTGGCACTCCCGTGAAATGGTCATAAGTAATATAAGTAAAAGAGGGCCAGGGGTGGGAGGTGGGAGGCCGGTGGGCGCAGGGAGGGTTGCTGGCGCGCGTGGGGCCTAGCGGGTGCCTTACCTCCCTTGGGCTGGGCCAGCTGGTGGCCCAGCCGGTGGTCACCCTGCACCCTCGCTGCCACGTGCCATGGCCGCCCAGGAGCGCCTGGGTCTGCCTGCCGCCGCACCGAATGTGCGGTGGCCAAGGTAAGGCTAGCGGAGCAGCGGCGGGCGCAGGGAGGGTTGCTGGCGCGCGTGGGGCCCGGCGGGTGCCTTACCTCCCTTGGGCTGGGCCAGCTGGTGGCCCAGGCGGTGGTTGGCCTGCGCCATCGCTGCTGCTTGCCATGGCCACCCAGGAGCGCCTGGGCTTGCCTGCCGCCGCACTGAACGGCGGTACAGGAGGGGTGCAGAGAACCTTCTACCGGGCCCCTCTTCTTCGGCTCGCCCGCAACTTCACTGAAAAGACCTCGACCGATGGCGGCGAGATTCGGCCAGCTGAGGGGGCCCTCTAGCTTGAGCAGGAGAGCCATCTCTATGCTCCAGGCAGGCATCCAAAGGCTGTGTCGGACCGGCGCGTGAGGGTCAGAGCGCTCTCGGGAAGGGAGGAAGTAAGGAAGAAGGGAGAAAAGGAAGGAAGGAAGGAAGGAAGACGAGCTCGAGCTCAGCAGACGGCGGGTGGAGCGGAGCAGCAGCAGCAGGATAGGGGGGGCGGGGCTTCACGGTGCCCACGGGCCAGGCACTGAGAATGGCAGTTTAGCAGCGACTCCCCTTTGTGTCTGGACTGAGAAAAGGGGAGCCGCTGCCAGCCAGCCAAGCCCAGCTGCCAGAGGTGGGGAGGCGACGTGACGTGAGAATTTCCCTGCACGAAGCCTTCGCGGGCGGCTCCCTTCACCCAGAGGGTGGAGGAAGAGCCGGGCAGACGGGCAGCTGAACTCCCCAGTGGGGTGGAAGAAACAGGGCAGGGTCGCGAGTGAGTGTGTGAGGGTGCATGAGGGCGAAAGGGTTTGGCTGCCGCAGGAGCGCTTGTCACGGGTTCCCTCTCAGGTTCTGATTGCTGGCGAACCGGGCTCTTGCGAGGGGAGGGAAGAGGGTGGAAAAAGTGGCTCTCCCCTCCCCTCTTCCTGCTGGGGCTACGAAAGGAGGGAGGGGGAAGACAGAAAAAAGTGCATTTTTCCAAGGGCTGCCTAAGAGGAAAGGCCGCTTTGCGCCGGGCTGCTCAGAGCCAGGAACTGGGAAACCCTGATTTGCTGCTGCTGCTGCTTCTTTGTAGAAACGCAAGGACTTTCTGCCCATTTCCTTGGTTGGAGTTATTTCCTTTTCCGCATGCGTGTGGGTCACGTGTGGGTCACGTGTGGTCATGCATGTGGGTCATGTGTGGGTCACGTGTGGTTGTGCGTGTGGGTCACGTGTGGTCACGTGGGTGCGTGGGGTCGCGGCATTAGGAAGGTTGAGAACCACTGCTTTGGAGTCTCCCTCTCCACAGGGAAGGATCTTTGTCAACCATGGTTTGGGTGATTATGGGATCTGGCTAAGTAGATTTCAACCTTGTCAGCCAGGATGTACTACCTATGGAGGGTGCGTAGTGCGCCTCTGGAGATACAAGCATTGTAATGTCATCGTTCAGCCTGTCATGGAAGGACTATCAGCATGTCCTGTGGCCATGGGTCATCTTCTTTCAGTTATGGTTTTAATCCTTGTCCGGGCTTTTCCATCGAGGAGGGGGTCCTCAAACCTTTTCCAGAAGGCCCCCATAAATTGGTTAAAGTTGCGTAGCTCTGGGGCATCATCATTGTGGAGAGTCACCATCCACTCTCCTGCTCTCCTTCCAGTGTCAGAGTCATGCTCTGTACCTTGGCCCCTTTGGATGATAGATTGGCCCCTACTCCTGCATTTTGGTCCACACCTGAGTCAGGAAGAATGCCAGTTGTTTTGGATTGCCCCATATATAAAACTCCATATGTTGAAAGTTTTCTTCCTCTTCACTGGTATCTCTCTAGGTTTTTTTTAAGAAGATACTTGATTTATTTGTCATTTAATTTTATTTATTGCAATTTTAATTGGGGTATTTTGGGTCTTTACTATTCCTTTTTATGTATATTTTAATGAATTCTATTTTTAACATTTGCATATCTCATAAGCTCTTTTGATTAGTCTTTTTTCTGGGGAGGAAGATAGAGTATGCATTTCTTAAATGAATGATTAATTTATTATCTTTCTTGTTTAGAAACACATTCAATAGTAGAAGCCCTCTGTAGAAATAGCTTATATTATTAGAATTGAAAAAACATGAGAATTACTAACAAAACCTATTTTTTTATGTTGTAGCAGAAAATGAGAGCACTCCTATTCAACAATTATTGGAACATTTCCTTCGTCAGTTACAGAGGTAAGAATATATAAATATAATAAGATGTACAGCTGCTGTTTTGAGTTTTGAAATTTAGGTGCTTAACAATGTGTTCTCTCTGATTAAGAGGTGTTTTAAAGTTTTTTTTCTATTGAGAGCGTAAGCAAATCTTTCATATAGATTCATGTTTGTTTTAATCTTGTTGAAAGTCCTGGTTTTAGAAATACAAGTGCTTTGGATGTTCAACATTCTCTCTGTCAAGCTGTCCTTCGTCAGCTGAAAACAGAATCCAGGAACGCAGGAACAAAGTGACCAACAGGGTTTTATTCCGTGCAAAATTAAAGTCAGCACCGGGAGTGGTTTGCTCCCAGTGCGTTACATAGAAGTGCCCCGCCCTGCAACCCCACCCCAAACAGCAAGCCAGCATCCAGTCTGTGAATGTAAAAGCCGCAGTTCTTCTTCCGGCTTCCCCCCTGCCGGACTTTGCACCGCCGCCTCCCTCTCTCTGCCGCTCCAGTCATTCTGTCGCTGGATGATCTCCAGTGGCATCCCATGGCAACCGGTGTCCTCCCCGGCCTCTGGCAGTGCTCCGTGGCGTGTGGTGGCGTCCGGCGGTGTCTCCGCTGCCCAGCTGATTCAGCCGGTGACCGGCTTCCTCCCCGGCCTCTGGCAGCGTGCCACGGCACATGGCGTCCTGAACGCCCAGCTGACGCACTCGGTAACCAGCTTTCTCCCCGGCTTCTGGCAGCGCTCCATGGCAGGCGGTGGCGTCTCCGACGCCCAGTTGGCCCATCCAGTGGCCAGCTGACTCCCCAGAATTCAGCGGCATGGCGGCGGTCGGCTGCTTGGCTCTGGCTGGCTGTTGGGTTCCTCCCCCTTCCGATATGTGTCGAGCCCACGGGGCTTGACAGGCGACCCCTTCTACCAGGGCTCCACCTGCAAGGCAAGAAGACGTGGGTGAGTGCATATCAACCCCCCGACAATTCAGCGGACCTGTCCCCCGGCTTCCCAGGGTGTAGGTGGTGGAACTCCTGCACCAGCCGCGTGGACGTCCTCCCTTCTCACCCATGAGGCTTCCGAGAGAGGGTACCCCTTCCACCTAACCAGATATTGCACCGTGACGGGCCCGGGAGTCCAGGATCTCTTGTAGTTTGTATTGCTCACCAGAGACCGGCCCCGGTGTTTTGCTCATGGCCCTAGGGGGGGAACCCTGAACTGATTTCATTAGGCTTCCGTGGAACACAGGGTGTACCTTCCCCAGGAATCGGGGTAGCCGCAGCCGCACGGTCACTGGATTAATGACCTGGATCACCTGAAAGGGCCCTATGTATTTGGGACCTAACTTCTTACAGGGCACCCCCAGGTGGAGGTATTTGGTTGACAGGTACACCCAGTCACCAACCTGGAAGGGCTTGTGAGCCGCCCGTTTATTGTCGGCCTGTGTTTTTGTTTCTGCCTTGGCTTTTACTAGGGCACTTTTCACCGTCCCCCACAACCCTTCTAAACGTGCCATCCACTCCTGGGGTGTACATGGTAAGGGGGTCCGCTGGGGCCACTTGGGGATAGGGACAAAGTCTACCCCATGCACCACCTGAAAGGGGGCAAACCCCATGCTACTATGCACTGCGTTGTTATAAGCTACTTCAGCAAACGGCAACAATTCGGCACAGTCCGTTTGCTGGTAGGAGACGTAGCTTCGCAGATAGCGCTCCACCATGGCATTCGCACGTTCAGCCGCTTCGTTGGTGCTGGGGTGATACGCCGAGCTGAGGCCCTAGACGATCCTATGTACCAGAGAAATTCACGCCAAAACCGTGCCGTGAACTGCACCCCCGGTCCGAAATGATTTGCCGCGGCACACCGTGCAGACGGTATACGTATTTGACGAACAATCTAGCCAACCGCCGGGCGGATGGTAGCCCCTTGCACGGAATGAAATGGGCCTGTTTGGACAACAGGTCAATCACAGTCCAGATAATGGTGTGGCCCCGGCTCTCTGGCAACTCAACTACAAAATCCATGGCAATGTCCTCCCGTAGCCTGGTTGGGTCTGCTACCTTCTGCAGTAAGCCCAAAGGCTTACCCGTACGGGGTTTTGTGGTGGCACAGATGTGGCAGCCCTTCACATAGGTCTCCACATCCGCCTTTACTCGGGGCCACCAGAATTGACCAAGTGCAAGGTTTTCAGGAAGCCGAAATGGCCAGCCTGTTTAGCTTCGTGGCACCGTTGGAGGACCGCTTGCCTCAGGACCTCCGGGACATACAGTTTGTCTCTATTCCAGGCCAGCCCGTCCCTCCATGTCAATAGGCTTGGGTGGTCCCTCAACCATGGATCGTCTCGGACTGCCACTTGTAGCTCCTGGACCAGATCACCCGTCAACGTGCGAGGAGCCGTCCTAGCTATGCCTTGTTGGTACGGAGGCATAATGGCTTGCACCACCTCCTCCCACTTGTTATGGTACAGGGGCATGCGCAACAAAGCATCGGCTAAGAAGTTCCTTCCTCCCGGCACATACTTTAAAGTGAACTGGAAGCGACGGAAGTACTGTGCCCACCGGACATGTTTGGGTGACAAGCGCCTTGGTGTTTGTAGTACTTTGAGGTTTTTATGATCTGTCCATACCTCAAACGGCTCCTTTGCCCCTTCCAATAAGTGCCTCCACGTTGAGAGTGCCCACCGCACCGCAAACGCTTCCTTTTCCCAAATGGCCCACGCCCACTTGGCGACAGTGAACTTCCACAAAGTATAGGCACACGGCTGTAACATCCCCTGGCCATTCCGCTGTAGTAGCACCACCCCCACTGCGACATCGCTGGCATCGGCTTGCACTCCAAATGGGTTCTCGGGGTCCGGGTGGAGCAAGACCAGTTCTCTGGTGAACAGGGCTTTCAGGACCTCGAACGCCTTCTGACAGGACATGGTCCAACCCAGCGGTTAGCTGGGGTGTGGCTTGCCTGCTCTGTGCTTCGTGCATAGCAGATCCGTCAGGGAGGGATACCGTGGCAAAGGAAGGGATAAATTGCTACTCGTGGCGACGGGTTCGGGGCGCCTGCCAGTCCAACACTGCTTTCACCTTGTGGGGGTCCATTTCTATGCCATCCCCTGATATTCTGTAACCCAGATAATCCAGACGGGTCCGGTGAAACTCACACTTGGAGAGCTTCACGAATAGGTGGGCATCGAGCAGCTTCTGCAGTACCTGCCGGACCAGGTGGACATGTTCCTTCAGGGTGGTGGTATAAGTGAGAATATTGTCCAGATAGACGAGAACCCCGTGGTATAGGTGTTCATGCAATACCTGGTTAATCAGTTGCATGAATACTGCAGGAGCCCCCTGCAGACCGAACGGCATCACCCGGCTCGGCAGTTAAATGCCGTCTTCCACTCATCTCCTTGTTTTATACGGACTCTGTAGTATGCCTCCCGCAGGTCCAATTTTGTGAACACACGCCGCGTACCCAAATGGGCCAGTAGATCTTTTATCAGTGGGAGAGGGTACAGGTGTTCCACGCAAACCCTGTTGATACCTCGGAAGTCCACACAGAGCCAGAGGGAACCGTCCTTCTTCTCCTTAAACAGGACCGGAGCGGCTATCCGTGAATGGGCTGGTTGGATGAACCCCCGGGCCAGGTTCTGGTCGATGTAGCGATGTAGCTCCTCCATCTCCCTGGGCGTCATGGCATACATCCGAGGTTTGGGCAATTTAGCCCCCGGCATGATGTCAATTGCGCAATCAGTGGCGCGGTGCGGTGGTAGAACGTTGCATTCCTTCTCACTGAAGACCTCAGCGAGATCATGGTACACGGCCAGGAAGGGCCCCTCTTCCGCGGTGCCGTGCTGCTTTGCCTCTCTTTCCCTGCATTCCGCCCCCCGGTCTTCGGATTCTTGGCTGGGAGGCCAGGGACCAACTCCAATACGTAGCCTCCAGTATCCCCCTTCCCACCATATAGTAGGGTCCCATTTGTCTAACCATGCCAGGCCCAAAATTACCGCCTCAGTCATGGATGGGACGACGATAAAACGGAGGACTTCCCAATGGGTACCCATCTCCAGCCTGACGGGCTCCATTATGAGAGTAGCTGGAGCCCCCCCCAAAAGAGACCCATCCACCTGCTTGAACCGGATTGGGTGCGCCAGCCGCTCTCCGCTGCCACACCCTTATTCATCAAACACCGGGTGCATCCGGAGTCAATGAGGGCCTGGTATTCCGTTGCCCTGTCTGGGGGCTTGTCAGTGTGACGTAGTACAAAAGGGCTTATGGGTTCGCTTACTATGGGTCTTTTGGCTACGTCGTCCTCGCTGTCATCAACCTCTAGATGGTACCTCGTAGCCACTGTCGCCTCCTCCTCCACCGGGAACAACTGTCAGGAAATGACCCCGTCCGGTTGCTGCACTGCTCTCAACTTGTCAGGGGTCCTTTTGGCGTTGGAGGTGGTTTTTCCAGGGGTCGAGGAAGGAACCCGTGGGCTCGGAGCCGGACAGTCCACTGCCCGGTGCTCCGGTTGGTTACACCGAAAACACCGGAATGGCACCTTGGCAGAAGGGCCGGAAGAAGCCGGGACTGCAGGCTGGATCCTTCTTCCCTCCTCCCGTGGCTTCTCCACCGACCTCCTTGGTGTGCCAGGATCCTCCCCCGTCCCTGGAACTCCTGCAACCCAGTGTCCAGGTCTATGACCACCTGGAACCACTCCTGAAGAAGGCTGGGGACACACCGAAACACACAGGCCTGGCGCAACTCCCGGTCGAGTCCCACCCGAAAATGGTGGACGAGGAGGCATTCTGGCCAGGAGCGCAGCTGACCAGCCACCCACCAAAAGTCACGGACATAATCAGTCGCGGGCTGACCTCGCTGCCGCAGTGCCAGCATCTCCGTCTCAGCCTGCTGGACCAGGGAGACATCTTCAAAGCGGGAACGCAGCACGCCAGGAACAGGCCAGCGTCGGCCAACTCCCGGGCATGGTCACTGTAAAGGTCCGCTGCCCATGCTGCTGCTTCGCCTTGTAATCCCACAGTAACCGCCACCACCATCGCCCACTGG